ATACCCATGCTTCATAGGCAAATTCAACCATCAATAATCTAAATTTGAAACTAAATAAATAGTTACCTACAATCTCATAGTGGATGAAGAATAAACAATATTTATTATTGGCAATAATTGACTCTCTTATAAAATTGGCTAATTCAAAACTGTTTTGATTATATGATTCAAATAAAATTTTCTATTTGATTGATTTAATTGGGAAATTTGTTTCTGAAGTTATTTTATAATAGAAAAGTTTAGTTGAATCGCAAGGTTTAAGAATAAAATAATGGAATTGGAGAGAAATAAAATTAGCATAATTTGTTTGAATGATTAAGGAGGTGAAAATTATGAAAAAATTATGAGAGAGATTAAGAGAAAATAACTTTTTTTTATAACTCACTTTGATGAAGTTTAATCAGAAATAAAAAATTATTTTATAAATCTTTTCAAAATACCTGTAATTATTTATCTAAATACAAAACATTGAAAGTAAAATGATACATGTATCATCTTTTATTTATTATTCATCCATAAGCAATACTAAAAAATCACAATTATTTTACTTCTTATCATTTTTGTTATTAGTTAATTTATTAAGGCCTATTTTGAAAACATCAAGTTTTAGTAAAAATATCCTTACAAAAAAAAAAAAAAAAAAAAAAATTAATTATGCTCTATTTTTTTTTACATATATTTTCGTAAAATATTAAAAAATCATTAAAAAAATTAATTCTCAAAACAATCCTAAATTTGTTATAAAGATTTTAAAGGGAGGACACTGGCATTTTAGAGACTAAGAGGGTGTCTTCGAGATATTAGGTGGAAGTGTAAGTTTACCTAATTTATTTCCATCCACTTCATTTTTTAATAAATTATTGTTTTATTTATTTATTTAATGTTTATTTATAAATTGAAGGTAGCTGAAATGAAATCTCAAATTACGCGTGGACCCCGATCAAAAGTTGATCAACCGCAAATCACACTCCACGTTACACGTGCGAGAGCGTATGAAATCCACCAACAGTTTCGCTCACACGAACATAGCCTCACGCCCGCACGAAGAAACAAGAGAAGAATAGAATGGAGTCTGAGGCGACAAAAAGTCAAGAATCCGCTGTTTCATTCTTCTCCTTCTCCTCTCTATTTTAGTATTACAATCAGACGGTTTAGAGAGAGAGAGAGAGAGACCACCGTTCGTTCTTCATCATCTTCACCTCCAACAAATTGCTTCTTTCGTATACTTGTTTCCATTCTCTGTGCGCATCATCAATCACCATGAACGAGAAGGCCAACGTTAGCAAAGAGCTCAATACCAAGCACCGAAAGGTTTCACTTTTTTCACAACTTCATTGTTTGTTCAATTTTCGATTTAGCCCCTATTTTGCTACGCTTTGTTCGATTTCACATAGATTTGATCTAAGGCCATGTTTGTTTGGGCCTTCTAAATTACACTATGTTTGGATTGAGTGATTTGGAGAGAAAAGAAAAGAAATTGAGCGATATGTATTTCCCTTATTTGTTTAAAAACCTAAGTAGAAAGAAATGAAAAGAAATGGAGAGAAATAGAGTCTCTTATAAGTCGCATTTTCAATCTTTTCAAAAGTGGAGAGATTGAGAGAGAAAAAAAATCACTATTTTTATAATATCAATTTTGTCCCTATAAAAATAAAAGAAATAAAATGATTAAAAACATAAAAAGCTTATTTTGGTAATATAATAAAATAATTTCTTTTCTTTTCTCTTAATGAAATCTAATCAAAGAAGAATGAGAGAAATCACAATTATTTCTTTTCTTTTATTTCTTTTTTATCCAAACAAAAAGGAGAGAAATTACAATTATTTCTTTTCTTTTCTTTTCTCTTATTACTTAAGTAATCATTTTTTTTTCTTTTCTCTCATAGGTTCTCAAATATAGTGTTAGATTGTATTAGCATTTCATGACCAATAGTAATAGTACTACGTATCTTTGATTTTGTATTTTCTGATTGAGTTAGGATTATAAGGAGGACTAATAGTCCAAACTTTGATTTATTCCTTCAATTTATATCCCATCCCTTTGTTGGATTAAATAGTCCATCGTATGTAGAATATCATATCCGGATGGATTGTTAATCTGTACTTCAATTGTTTAACCAAATATCAGATTAATAATTTTATTGGACTATTAGTCCAATCCCAACCTCATATCCACCCAAACAAACCCAAACAAACATGGCCTATAATAGTATTGGTTTTTTATTGATTTGTTCAATTGGGATTGTGCTAATCCAACGTATAATCAGGGATCTCCTATTTGGTTGATGTTGAAATTTCTGGTTTTCCAAATTAAGTTTTGAATATGTTTCTGGGATCATCCATGGATTGAACATTATTTCTGGATGTTAAATTTATGATTTTTCCATAAACTTTAACTTAATCACTAATTATCATATCTGCGCATATGTGTCACGGTGGTGGTGGTGAAATTCTCTGATTTACATGTTATGTAGGTTTTGCGTTCAAATTGATTATTGTCTCAACTTTTACATTTTGTGGATACTGAGTTATGTACATAATATTGCATTTTGGATATGAGCAGAGTGTCAGACCTGGAAACCACTTAAAATGCGGACAAACAAATATGGCTTTAGGATGTTTATGTTTATGGGTTTACTATGTTTGTACCTTTCTTTATGTTTCACCATGTGCTTGTTTGGAAAACATGGTCCATAGTTAAGAAGTTATTTAAGGGAAAAAAAAAAAAGGAGTAAAAAATAATGAATTTTATGAACGGTGTTTTAAGTTTCTCCTTCTAATTATCAACTTTCAGCTTGCTAGAAGCCGCACCAAATAAGCTCGAATTCTAGTAACATTATATCAATCCAAACTTGAACAACTTCATATGGCTAAATTTTATTAGAGTTAATTATACTTTGGCCCCGTTTGGTAAAACTGTGGAAAAGTGATTATAGATTATAACTTAACAGATTATGACTTATAGCTGTGAACATAAGCTGTTAACCTGTTTGGTGCAGTTGTGAGATTATGGATTTAAGCAGCAGAGTAGTGTTTGGTTAATAAGCTGTAGCTTTTTACTATATAATTGTCCTTTCTACCCTTATATGATATAAAAATGATTATTTTGTCATTTTTTTTTTCAGTTTTAATTTAAAAAAAAAAATATTTCATTAATAAAAGTTAATATAATTAGTATCAATTAATATAAAAATTGATACATTTGCTAAAAATGTAATGGAAGTGTCAATTGTCACAATTATTTTCCCATTATAAATTTAATTAGTATCAAATTAATGCTATTAGTATCAATTAATACTAAAATTATTAATTAGTATCAATTAATGGCTTAATTAGTCTCAATTAATATTAAAATTATTAATTTAGTATAAATTAATAAATATTTAATTTTTATTAGGCATCAATTAATATTAATTAATCCAACAACTGTTATTACATCTACGTATCAACTTAATAATTCAATTCATTACTATGAAATGTATACAATATTAATTTATTAATAACTTAATACGCAATTACATATTGAATTTTTTTTCTGTTACTTCACGATATCAATTTTTATTTTTTAATTAATATCAAAAAACAATATAACAATATGAATTTATATTAATAATTAATACCAATTAATATTTATTTTCAATTAATATTGATTTTTTTCTTTTTCTTCCAAAAATATACAATTTTTTATTTTTTAATTAATATTAATTAATAATATTAATATTTGGGTATTGACGAGGACATTTAAGTAATTTCAGCCCCCCAACACCAGCTGCGCACTTAAGTCAAAAATTTAAGCACCCCCTGACCAACTTTTGAGATAAGCTGAGAAATAGCTTGATTTAAGTTATAAGCTGGTTAACTTAAGCTGCACCAAACACAATATTTTAGCTTAAATTAAGGTAAAAGCTGAAATAAGCAGCTTATAAGGGGGGTGTTTGGTGCAGCTTTTTTAAGCTAACTTATGGCTTCTGGCTTTTAAAAAGTTATTTTGGACTGTTTGGTTAAACTTATTTCAAACAGCTTCTGATTCTAACAACTTATTTTAAGTCAAAAAAGCTGATTCTGAGAAGCTGCTCACCCCTTGCTTCTGATTATCAGCTTCTGCTGTGGACATGTTAATTCACGGTTATACTCTTAGATTTTTTTATTTTTTATTTTTTTAAAAATAGAAAAAGACTCAAATGGACTATTAAATATTATTATTATTATTTATGAAAAATGTAGACAAATAGTGAATAATAAAAAATAAAAATTAATTGAAAAAGCTACTTCACAGCTTATTTAACAAACACTACTCAGCAACTTAAATCTATAATCCAACAGCTATACCAAACAGATTAACCGCTTCTGATTAAAGTCATAATCTATAATCTGTTAAGCTATAATCTATAATCTGTTTTAACAGCTACACCAAACACCACCAAGCTTTTACCAAACAGGCATATTGTCTTGCATTGCCTTAAGTGTCTGACTTAACAATTTGGATTTTTTTTAGCTTATAATGATGGATCAGATGCTAGATTTCTCATATTGCTGGCTTTACTTGTCTACCCATTAATTTGATGATTTGTCTGAACTCTTAAGGCTTGTGGAAGAGGCCTGTATGCTGATAATGCATACTTGATGTATGTGTGTAGCAGCGTACAATCTGTGGTCTTTGAGAATCCTTAAATCCTCATGGTGCATTAAAGTTTTGGCTTCATCCAGTTGATAAAAACAGGTTTTCATGTGCAACTTCATTAGGGAGGCAAAAAGTCCTCTGACTTGTTGCTGACTTCTCATTCTGATGTCCAATTGTGATATGCATGACCATTTTTTTTTTTTTTGTTTTTTTTTTTCTGCTGTGTGGAAATGCACCATTTTTTCGAGTGCCCCCCCGCCCCACCTCCTCTAAGATAGATAATTATTTTGTTGCCTTTCTTCCTTCATTAGTCTGTTTCCTTCTGAATATGAATCATTGATCAACTATTTTCTGATCCTTATCATTTACAGATACTGGAAGGGCTTCTTAAATTGCCAGAAAACAGGGAGTGTGCTGACTGGAAAAGCAAGTATGTTATCTGGAAACTATCAAAATTGATATTGATAGTAAAATTGTGAAGCAATAAATAACTTGATCTCAGTACATTATACCATAAAGTAGCTGCATGTTTTTCTTTTCCTTTTGTTAGGTAAGAAAATTTGAACTTGAGTCTCGTTGTGTGGGATTTGCGACCTAAGCTTCATGGGTGTCCCGTTCTGGACATCAAGTAGCTTCATGTTATTAGTCAAAAATAATTTCTATGTATTTCGAGTTGCTGTTAGTGACTAGTATTTCATGCAGGGGTCCTCGATGGGCTAGTGTGAATCTGGGCATCTTTGTATGCATGCAATGTTCTGGAATCCACAGAAGTCTTGGAGTGCACATATCAAAGGTGATACTTTATGCATTGGTAGTGCGCTTTAATATTGGGAAGTTTGTCTATTGGTTGGGTCCCTTCAAAGTTCCACTGTATATTTTTCTTAGCTTTAATGCCAAAAGAACCAGTAAGTAGAGAGTTTTTTACTTATTAAAAATAAATAAGAAAAGCAGAGAAAGTTTTATGATAGATACTAGCAATAGGGAAATTACTACGTAATATTTTTCAACTTTCCAACTTGAAACCTGACCTATTACTTTCCAGCTTGAAACCTTACCTTTGGTGCTCTCTCTCTCTAATAAATTATTTTCAAATAGTGTTTTCCCTCCCCTCTCTCTCTCTCTCTCTCTCTCTCTCTCTGTCATTGGCTTCTTATTGGTCTTTCCATTATGGAAGGTCTCTTTGAGAAGGTGGTTGCCTTGGGTTACGGGAAATAAACATTCATATCCCTGTGATAAGTTGCTTGTTTGTCAATGCTAAAATCTTCATAATCTAAAGTTCAATAATGCAGAGTCAAAAATTTATGAGCCCTTCAATTATTCTATCATAATTTGTTTTTGGGTTAATATTGAATCCTTGCTAGGTTTACCCTATCACGTAAGAAGAAAATATTTTTTACTTCTGCACACAAATATGTGGTTAAGCAAATGCCAATTATTATTTGCATACTTATTCTGGATTTTTGCCGGTGAGGTCTGCTACTCTAGACACATGGCTTCCCGAACAGGTTGCATTTATTCAATGTAAGCTTCTCTCTAACTACAGTTCCATTTTTTAGGCCAATGTTGGTCCTAGATAACAAAAAAGTGACTCAATATATGGTTTCCTTCCCTATACAGCAATGGCAAATGAGAAGGCAAATACTTATTGGGAAGCAGAGCTGCCCCCTAATTACGACAGAGTTGGGATTGAGAATTTCATTTGTGCAAAGTATGCATTTGCTCACCATCAGTGCACTGTTATGGCCTGATTTTACAACTGCTCAGCCTTAAGTGGACATCTCTTGCATACTTCAATGAAGGTATGAGGAAAAGAGATAGGTTGCTAAAGATGGCAAGCCAAAGTCGCCTTCTAGATCACTAGAAGAAAAGGCTTCTGTGCAGTGGCAGAGACCTGGGGATAGGAGTGGGAATGGATATGCTAGCATATCTGAAAATTCATCTGAGGAAAGGAAGAACTTTCAAGCTAGTACGGGGGAGACTGTTCCTGCTACAAGGAAAGGACCTGAATCAGTATGTTGAGTTCTTTGCCTGGCTGATTTCTTGCATACTTTTAATGTGTTCTCCTTTTCCTTCATGTTTGTTTGTCTTCCAAAATCTTTGAGATTGTTGCCCTGACCTATTTGGTTTACAAACAGGTCATTCCACCGCCAAAGTCTCAACAGATCATTCAGAAATCAGAACCAGTAGTGTCGTATGCTGAATCAGCAAAAGCAGGCAGCAGACTCTAGTCCAGCTGTCTCTCCTCCTAAAGTTGATTTTGCTACTGACCTTTTCGACATGCTTTCGATGGATGGTCCTAGTGAAAATGGCTCAGAGGCAGCATCTGCTGATGATAATGCATGGGCAGGTTTCCAGTGTATGTCCAAGTTTTCCTCATTTTTAACATCATTGAAGTAATGTATCTACTTTTGTAACAGCCATGGTTGAGGTGGAGTAACAGTGCTAATGATTAAATTTTTCATTGACTCTTGACAACTTGCAGCTGCTGCAAAAGGATCAACAGCCGATAAAACTGTCTCTACAAAACCAGATAATAACAATACCCAGTCTACTTCTGGTATTGAAGATCTCTTTAAAGACTCTCCTTCACTAGCACCTTCTACAGTATCGGAGAAGCCTATAAAAGATGTTAAAAATGATATTATGAGCCTCTTTGATAAGGTACTACTGCAGGATTTTACTCCTTATACAAACTTTAATTGACTGTATATTCAACTTTTATTTTGCTTAATTGATGGAATATCTAGTTTAAGCTTTGTTTTTGTTAAAACTAAAAAAAATATGAAGTTCAGTATGTATTATGACTTATTGGGCAGGGATAAGTCAATCCATTTGGATGTGGTGTTGGCTGCTTCAACCCCCGTCAAACTCTGAACACTAGAGCCGCTTTAATGATTTTTAGTTTATTTTTTTTGTCTAATATAAAACAGTTGAGACCAACAACATTACTTTTGGTTTTATCTTATCGCTGGTGCTAATACTACCATTTGAAAATCATATCTAATCTTATAGTTCTTTGGTTTTGCAGTCCAATGTGGTATCACCATTTTCTGTTCATCAACAGCAACTTGCTATGTTGGCACAGCAACAGTCCCTTCGTATGGCTGCTGCAGCTAAATCAGCTGGCGTGGTGCCACAGTTTGCTGGCAATGCACAACCACCGAGCCCCAATGGTACAAACTTACCCACTCAAATAACCACAAATGAGAAACAGAAGTCAATTAATCATACGATTGGAATTGCAACAATGTGACCATAAACATGTATCCACTAAGCACCAATTTAAGCCAACAATGATAGTAACTGAAATTACAAAGTAGAAACAAAATTAAAGAGTTTCCAACCATAATTTACAAAGTTGTTTCCCCAAGGGTCTCACATTAAACATCCCAGAGGTTGTTTGAGTTAAACAAAAAAGGAAAATGCCTGCTCAAATCAAACTTACAGAGTATGTCTTAAGAGTGAGCTACACTGTGTATTCACAAGCATTACATGTAAGCATGCTAGAGATGTGAACGTTCTCTAATTTTTTATGCAAGTTTTTGGCCAGAATAATTTTGGGTAAGTGTGAAATCCCGTATTTTTATATAATAAAAATAATATATAATTTTCTTAAATAATTATTCACAATATTTTGAATTTAATAGCTTGTATATTTTTATACTGAACATTTATTCAAAATAAAATGAAATAAAATATTTTTTGACTTTATATTATTACTCAATATTACTTTCTGAACCTTATGATATTTTTATTATATTTTTCTATATATTTTTTTGTAATCAAATTACACTGGAACATAATATTTTCTGTACTAAAATCCAATCCAAAAAAAAAAAAAGAAAAACCGAACATTGTTCTGGTCAACCGGCCGGAAGTCCGGATTAGCCAAATTTTCCCGCCTGGAAAGGAGTTTTCAAAAGTGGAAAAGAGTATTCAAAAATGGGTGTGGAATTATAATTTGAAAATACAAAACAAATACCACACTCAAAAGTGGGGGTGGAAATGCATTTGGAGAGCTTCTCTAAACACAGCCGTAGGCTCCACTAAGCTTTATACACCATAACCCAATTTAGAGACCTAAGAAAAAAAAAAAAGATTCCAAATTCAGAAAACGAATGAGAAACAAAAATACATTGACAAAACATTTCTAACACTCACACCTAGCCTGCCTAACTAGTTGGTAAAGGGTTTGACTCCCATTGATGGTTAATACCAATTGTTCGGGGTGAGACCGTCGGACCGCCACCACCACCACCATCACCTATTTCTATTATCATCTAGAACCACCATTCACAAAGTGTTGTAGGTGAAGAAAGAGAAGAAGAAAGAAGATGGAGGAGAAAGAAGTAAAGTTAGAGAAGTTTATTTTGAAGTTCAAAAGTTGGTTTTCGGCTTACTTTCGGCATGCCAAAACCATCCATTCTGGGAAGAAGTGAGACAAATAGGCCATGTAAGATGAAGTACGAAGTAAGTTGAAGAGATTGGCGAAAGAATGAAGTAAAACCGTTAAGAATTAAGAAAATTATGGGGTTCGAAAGATGGTTCGAAGAAATGTCCGAGATGGTAGGAAAAAAAATCTAATTCTTCATCAAATTTTAAAGATCCGACGGCATGCAAAAAGAGATGGAACAAGGCGTGTGAGTAGTGAACCAAAAATTAGGCCGTGAGGTGAATCTAATGATAGAAAAATAAGATAAAACGGAGTTACGATGAAAAAGATACGAGTATTTGAACTGGGGACATTGAAACTAAAATTCTGGGTCTCTCTGTCGTGCATGCTGTGGCTGTTGGAGAAGATGAACTAAATTTTATCCAGTGTTTCTCGGCTCATGGTGCTACGGTGCATCCTAGCACATTTAGGTTAATCGAGTGGTCCTATGACTTTGGGGATGACCACCCTTAGGTTTTTCGACGTGTAGAATCCATTTTTGGGGTTAGATCTTGCAAATTCTGAGTCTAAGATGATGATCAACAACTAAAAGTCCTAAGAGAATCCAATGAAAGATCAACGGTGAGATCGTGTCCGATTAATGTGAAATTTCAGCAAGACGATCATGGAGCCAAGACGGTCATATCTTACGATCAGAATCATAAATCAAATTCGAACGATAAATCGCTAGCAACCTAACATAGTAAGAAAACCCTCTCAACCCTCTCATTTTTTATATATTTGAAATTTTCAAATTATATACATATGATAAAATGTCTAAACTTGTAGATAAAATTTTATTTATAATTGTATGAAAATTTATGATGGTATATTAAAATATTGTTAATCTAAAAATCATGATAATATTGTGGAATTTGGACTTGCATGTGTAGTTTATGCAATTAAAAATATTATTGAAGATGTTATTTGGCCCTTTAAATCTGCCAGAAAGTTGTACGAATTTTTAGACAATTTTATACTCAAAATTTGAAGATGATTTCTTTTACAAAGTTGTTGATAATGATGTCTAGTTCATCCAGGAATTTTCTTACCTATGACTTTGGGGATGACCACCCTTAGGTTTTTCGACGTGTAGAATCCATTTTTGGGGTTAGATCTTTCAAATTCTAAGTCTAAGATGATGATCGACAACTAAAGGTTCTAAGAGAATCCAATGAAAGATCAACGGTGAGATCGTGTCCGATTAATGTGAAATTTTAGCAAGACGATCATGGAGCCAGGGCGGTCATATCTTACGATCAGAATCATAAATCAAATTCGGACGATAAATCGTTAGCAACCTAACATAGTAAGAAAACCCTCTCAACCCTCTCATTTTTTATAAATTATATACATTCAAATTATATACATATGATAAAATGTCTAAACTTGTAGATAAAAATTTTATTTATAATTGTATGAATATTTATGATGGTACATCAAATTTGGACTTGCATGTATAGTTTATGCCATTAAAAAGATTATTGAAGATGTTATTTGGCCCTTTAAATCTGCCAGAAAGTCGTACTAATTTTTAAACAATTTTATACTCAAAATTTGAAGATGATTTCTTCTACAAAGTTGTTGATAATGATGTCTAGTTCATCCACAAATTTTTTCAACAATTATTGAGTTTTGTATGAATTTATACAGATTTTTAACGAAATCTGGAGCTATAGACAAATTTTGTTATGTGTTTGAAAAATCATTAAAAATTTTATATTAAACCAAATCTGATAATTTCTAAGCAAAAAATGAAATTTGAGAAGTCTAGTTTCATAATAAATTTTTAGATCATGGAATTTATTTATAAAATTTAAGTATGGAATTAATTTAAGGAAATGTGATAAATCTGTGTCATAAAATTTCTGAGAATTTTACAGAATTATTTATAACTTATTTTTGGGAATTTATTTCTGAAAAATGACCCAAACATATTTATTGAATATTCTGTACATTTTGACAAATTTTAGAGCTGTATAAATAATTTATTTATAATTTTTATTACCTAAGGTATAACCTGAAAATTTCTAGACAGGTTTAAGATCATGACTTCAATTATTTATTCGGATAAAAATCAGTTATTGTGTTAGTCCAATTCATCAAATATAGTAAATTAGTAATCCATGTATGGGTGTATTGTGGTTTATTTAATATTGTGGCAGTCTAATCTTGTAAATTAAAAATCTATGCACGTGTGTTACTTTGGTTTATTTTCTCTGTATCTAAATTATTATTTCATACCATGGTTTAAATAAATTATTTATTTAAATGCTGTACATTTATTTATTATTGTGTGACATGTGTAATATTTTATGTTGGGAATTTTAATGAGATGGTGTAACATCAATTATGATTAAAAATTGAAATTATTTGTGAGTAATATCAAAATTAACTGAAATGATTAACGGCATATACGAAGTTAACAATTGACGGTCAATACCAGTTGCTCAGAGTGAGTCTTGGTTTTAAAAAGTGTACGAAATTAAGGGTTGACGGTTAATACCGGTTGTTCAGGGTGAGCCCTGGTTTTGAGAATTCTCACGTAAATTGTGTTGCGAAACTCTAAGATGGCACGGGACTTATTTGAACTATTTTCGGTATTTGGTTTTGGAATAAGGGTGGATGTGCCGGTGGCACACAGGGAGGTTACGTACCCCTGGCAGACCGTTTCCTTGGGGCAGACCACGGATGCTACTACTTGGGTATATAACTCCGGACGTGGGCATCCCTGGTAGTTACAGTTGGTAACACTAAAATATTTGACCAAGGGAGGGTTTCAAATTAACCGTTGCCATGCTTAGTGGTTGGTAAGTTCAATCTCTTTGGTGAGATTTCGAGTGTCACCTAATTTATTAAAATTATTGAAATTATTTTAATGGTTGTAATTCATGTTTACAATTATATTATTATCTCGTGTTTATAATCTCATTATTTTTCTCTTAAAAAGAATGGCAGATTGGTTATGTTTTCTTACTGTGTTGCAAAACTCATGGCATATATTTTTGTTGCCCTGGCATTTTATGCCAGGTTTTGGCGAGGAAATAATTGAAGCTGAAATGGAGTTGACGCTAACGTAGAGCTTTGGCTGACTTGAAATCATGACTAAAGTCGAATAACTTTATTATCTTATAAATTAGCTATTAAGGACCTTATAATTTCATTTGATGTTGTATTTGGATAATCTTAAGTTTTTATTTAATATTATTTGAATCTTTGGTTATATACGAGAGCTGGAATGTCCTATTAAGATGTCAACTTTTTAGTTTATTAAGTCATTTTGTTTATTTAATTTCCCTTGATATTTCAAAAAAAAAAAAATTTGGGGTGTCACAGTAAGACACATCCGTGACCTGATACTCCGCAACAAATTTAAATGATAAATTAAGATATCCAAAGAAAAGTAATTATTGTAAGAACAAAGCTGTTACACAAATCACAATCTGGAAATGATAATTTAGAACCGACAATGCAAAATTAATTGAAACCAACCACTGCCTCCAGGTTTCTGATCAGATAGACAGCCCGGCAAAAAGCAACTCCAACTCCTCCTCCTGTGATGTAGTTCTCTGGAATAAAAGAGCTATCATTTTTCCATATGTTATATAGATTACTGTATAAGGGAAACATGAACAAGCAATGTAAATTCTCAGATAGATTTAACAAACTTGCCATCTAAATTTTAGTTCTCCTCTAGGGGGAAAAAATGCACCCAGCAATTTAACCTACCACTTTATTAGTGTAATATCTTTTAAAACTCAACAAACACTATGGTAGGGATGGGTTCCAAGCCATTTTTTACTACACCTTTTGGAAGATTGTGGGCCCATCTGTGATTAATTTTGTCCAAAATTGTTTTTCCTCTTGTAGCATCCCTCCTGAGATTAATAGAACTATTGTAGCCCTTATCCCGAAAGTTGCTAATCCTGAGAGTGTGAAACAATTCAGGTCTATTAGCTTGTGTAATGTCACTTACAAAATCATTTCAAAAATCCTTGTTAACAGAATAGGCCTGTCTTGAATGATGTTATTAGTCCTATTCAGAGTAGTTTCATTCCGGGTCGTTCCACTCATGATAATATCATAATCACCCAAGAAGCTATTCATACTTTGAATAAGAAAAAAGGGAAGGTGGGTTTCATGGTTTTTAAAATTGACCTCGAAAAGGCTTATGATAACATTTCTTTGAATTTCCTTCAACAAACTTTGCAAGAATTCCACTTTGATAAAAATTTGGTGAACCTGATTATGAGATGTGTCACTAGTGTGAACACAGCTATTTTGTGGAATGGTGAGCCCCTTGAAGAGTTCAAACCAGCTAAGGGCTTAAGACAGGGGGATCCTCTATCTCCCTATCTATTTGTGTTATGCATGGAACGACTCTCAGCCATGATTAGCCAGCAAGTGCAAGGTAAACACTAGAATGGGCCTAGCTTGGCTAAGAATGGTCCTAACATATCACATTTGTTTTTTGCAGATGACCTGATTTTGTTCGCCAAAGCAAATGAGCATAATTGTAACACTATTTTGCAAGTCTTGAATGAGTTTAGTGAAATTTCAGGATTAATGGTTAACCTTCATAAATCACACTTGCTTGTGTCTCCTAATATTGCCAGAAGAAAAGCAAATTAGTTTAGTAATATGTGTGTCATTCCTCTAACTTGTAATTTGGGGAAATACCTAGGGATCCCTTTGTTGCATGATAGAGTGTCCAAAAATCATTTTATGTTTATTTTGGAAAAAATGAAGAATAAACTTGCGGGGTGGAAATCTGAGATGTTGTCTTTGGCAGGGAGAGCAACCCTGATACAATTTGTCTCTAGTGCTATGCCCAGCTATATCATGCAAACTATGGAGCTCCCGAGGAAAGTTTGTGATGAGATTGATAAAATCAATAGAAACTTTCTTTGGGGTGACAGTCTTGAGAAAAAGAAAGTACATCTTGTTAATTGGGATCAGGTTTGCAAGATGAAAAAACATGGGGGTCTTGGGATCTGCAAGGCTAAAGATCAAAATCTAGCTCTTCTCTCCAAATTGGGATGGAAAATGTTAAGTGGAGAGAATACTCTCTAGGTTGATGTGTTAAATAATAAATACTTGGGTCAAGAGCCTTTCTTAATTAAAAAGAAAGGCAAGAGTATATCGCACATTTGGAAAGGCATCCTTAATACCAGGAAGCTCCTGGTTCAGGGAGTTCGATGGAAACTTGGTAGCGGTAACAAAGTGAGAATTTGGAAAGATTGGTGGTGTGGTGTTGGGGCTTTTGAATTGGGTTTGAACACACTTACCAATCAAACTCCAAATTGTGAACATACTACTGTGGTGTCTCTTCTTGATACTCATGGTGATTGGGACTTAAATCTTTTGCAAAATTCCTTTCCTTTACCTATGGTTGAAGCTATTTTAAAGCTACAACCACCGAGGCTTAATGCTGGAGAAGACACTCCCAGATGGATTAAATCCTCTGATGGGGAATTCTCCACATCCAGTGCATATGATTTAATTGTTGATCATCATAATCAAGAAAGGGATTGGGGATGGATTTGGAAGCTTAAGTTTCCTCAGAAACTTAAAAGCTTCTTGTGGCTTGTCTTTCATGGAAAAATTCTTACTAACAAAATGAGAAACCTGAGGGGTATTACTTCTGATCCCACTTGCCCTTACTGTGCTAATGTGGAAGATCTTGAACATTTGCTTTGGTTTTGTCCCAAAGCTACCCAGATATGGTGCCATGTTTATAGTAAGGAGTGGTACTGCAGTAGGCTCTTGTTACCTTGGAAAGATTGGATCATCCAAAATATGAAAGGGAAGAACCACAATTCTTATTTGATCCTCATCTCCCTTTGGACTATTTGGAAAAATCGAAATAAGATGGTTTTTGAATCTAAAACTACTAATATCCATGAGAGTGTTAAACTCATATCAGATTATGCCAAGGATATCTTTCAAGCTTTTAGTTTGGATGTTACTCAACCACTTCAAGCTAAAAGTTTTTCTGTGTGGTCTTGTCCAAATGCAGGAAAAATCAAACTTAACACGGATGGTAGCCCTCGCAGGCATGGAGGAGGTGGGGGTTTTGGTGGTTTATTTCGGGATGAATCCGGAGCATGGATTAGTGGATACTATGGAAGACTTGAAATATGTACCTGTCTAGAAGCGGAACTTTGGGCAGTCAACAAGGGGCTGACTATAATACTTCAACAAGGCTTCAATCAAGTGATCATAGAAACCGATGCGGAGCAAGTGGTGAAATTATTGAGTGAAGATCTGGGAGAAAAATGTCCTTTCCGGGACATTGTGGAAGATGCGCGTATTATCATGAGAGGATCTGACTGCTCCATCCAACACATTCGAAGGGAAGCTAATATTTGTGCGGATGCAATGGCCAAGTTAGGTGAATATCAACCGGCAGACTTGCTTATTGTAAACGAACCCCCTAAAGAACTCCGCGCCTTACTTGTTGCGGATATTGTTCATCTCTCTCAGGAGAGTGGTAGGATGTAGTCCTTCTTTTGTTTTATTTCCGATGTACCCAAAAAAAAAAAAAAACACTAGATGTTTGACCATTTGACTCCTCAACATTGATACATAAGCCACTGGAATGGCCATAATTAACACATTGGCTTCGAGAATAATGAGGATCCATCAATCCACAAATGAATCTGAATGAAACACAAGAGTCACCAATAAACTAAAAATCATTTATTCAAGAATTTAGTGAGAACCTAAGCTAAATTAGTGGTGGGTGAACATGCAATGGGTGTGCATGTGCATTGCGCGTGTATGGGTCAATAGTTTATGAATGAAAAAGATGAATAGAAACCATCCGTGTTTGTGGAATTTAAAATATCTGAATTAGTTTAAAATTTTCATATGCGCAGTTTTCTTTTCTCACATAGGCAATTTTCAAACTCATAAATTGTGATGGATATTTTTGGAACACCAAAAAAGTATGACGAAGCTTTAAAAAGTGTTCAATCCAAATGGGTTGTACATTTTGTATAATGGTATATATAGCATGACATGTAAACTTAAAAAAAAATTTAAGAGTAGAAACCATAAGACATAATGAACTTTAAAAAAACACCATAGCATCCAAAAAACAATCCACGAGAAGTTAAAGATATGGATAGGAAGAAGCGTCACTATCCCGATCATATCCCTGCACTCAAACCTAGGAGTAAGGGGAGGCGACCTTTAATTGTAGCCGATAAAAAAACAGATAGGTTGCTACTAGAAAAGGGAAGCAAATTCACTTCCCCTTATCGAGCTAATAGGCACCTGAGGAGATCATGCATAGTGTCATCCAAAAACTAGATCTAAGGGGAGGACTCTTGGGCCAAACCTATCCTCACTTGGGCAAGTAGGGATGGCAATAGGGGGCTTTGGGGCGGATATTAATTCTCCATGCCCATTTCCCTGTTATAATTTTTCTCCATTCCCCATTCTTCATCTTCCATGGGGACTACCCTCCCCAACCCCTAATGGATTTGGATTTTCCCCAACCCAACGTGATCTTTTTTTTTTTTTTTTTCAACCAAAGCTAAATATACATTCTATTTTAAGAAGTTTATTTTAAAGTAATCAAATAATTAAGAAATTTAGATCAACAACTTTTGTCTCTCATTTTTCTCTTACTTTCTCTCTCTATCTAGTCTTTATTCTCCCTGTATCTCTGCCACTTCATCTAGACACCACTTTTCACTTTCTCTCTCTAAAATTCACATTTTGATCACCCCCATCCAAATATCACCACCATCACTTTCTTTCTTCTTTTTTTCTCGAGAAAATGTCGAAACTTCATCTGGGTTCTAAACTTCCTTACAGAGATTCAAGGTCATGTCTAACCAACTCACTGGTTCGCTATTGAGTTTCGCAGGGTTGAACTCGCTCCAGTTCCTCTTGTTCAACAACAACTTCTCTTCCATTCCCTAAGGTTTCTTCTCCGGCTTGACAAGATCACCGAGGCTGGATCCTTAGCTGTAAACAAGGATGTCAAAACATATGGAGAAATGGTAGGTACCCATCCCCGACCATCCCCGATAGAGACTTAGATCAAGCTACGTTGGTTTGTAATTTTTGTCGATGATTGTACTCAAATGACAGTAGGGAAAATCCATATACTTTGGGTTAGGTCTCCATAGGTAACCATGGGTAGGGTTTCATTGCCATTCCTAAGGGCAAGGAATCCAGAAAGGGGAGCTCGGCTTGCAGCAAAAGCTTTTAGTACTAACGCAGTTGCGGACTCAGACGTGCTGATACTTTTTTTTTTTGGGGTGAGTGACGTGCTGATACTAGACTAGAAGAGGAATGCCCCTTTTTATGCATGGCGCAAGGAAAGGAAGAGCAAACTGATTTTCGCTAATCTTGGATCAGTGTTCTTTTCCGATCTTCCACTAAGAAAGGTATCATCACGACAACTCAATTTGTCCGCTCAATTTGTCCGATAAATTACTCGGGGCTCCCCATGGTTTAAATATACATACACTATGCATCAAGTTAGCTTCACCAAGTAATAGGTGAGCTTCACCAAGTAATAGGTGCAACAAGTACATTTATTTATTGATAAATGCAACAAGTTCATTTATACAAAAAGAGAATGCAGTTTTATTTCTTTCAAGTTGACAAAAGACACATAAAAAAGACTATCCAGTATGCTAATTAACAGGAGCAATTTTATAGAATGCTACGCACCTGACTGAAAAAATAAAAATAAAAAATGTAACGAGTCAAAGTATCCTCAGTGTCTCATGTACAAACTCTCAGTTAATCTAATACTCAAATCCATATCAAGAAATCAAGTACTTAAAATTACAAAATAAGTACAAAAGCATTAATATGAATTTAAAGTACTTAAAATTACAAAATAAGTACAAAAGCATTAATATGAATTTAAAGGGGAACTTACTGATAAGTCCCATGTACCAAGTTCAAGATCCAGCTAATCCCAAAACAAAACACTTGCACCAATTAGTACAATACATTTTTAATTGTTACCAAAAAATCTTTTTTTTTTTTTTAATTTACAGACATTGTTCACATCTTACTACCATCAGACTTCCGTCAAACGGTTGCCGGAGACTTGTCGGAATGTTCAACATCGCCGGGAAGTTGCCGGAGTCAAATTAATCAAACTGAAAAACATGTTATGAAACTGTAAAATTTTACAGTTTTATACCATGATTCATTCCAGTACCAAAAAAATTTGAAACTGCAAAATTTTACAGTTTTTACCGCCTGTAACTAAAACTCGAAAACTACTTGTTCAGAATCTGTTATTCTCTCCTTCTTCCTCTGTTATATTAGTTTTTTTTTTTTTTTTATTTGTGTAAATTTGGTAGATTTGTGTATTTTGATTTTTTAATTTAGATTTAGGTTTTGATTTTGATTTTTTCAAAGAGCAGGGTTGCGATTTGGATGAAGACTTCTACAAAAGGATTGCATTATTCAGTGAATGACTTCATATATAATCTAGATCAAGTGAGATATTGCGCCAGTGGTAAGTAATTTCAGAAATGGAGAGAGCATGAGTGGAAAGAACATGATTTGGTAACGGTGGATCTTGACTTGGAACTTGGATGCTGCCAGTTTTATTTTTGCTTTTGTTGTTATCCTCACGTTTGGGTAAAGCTGGACTGCTCTGCTGCTGCTGCTGAAAACAGAGGCAGAGGGGAAGGAAGAAAAACGAGAGAAGAAAACATAAAGAGGGAAGCACAAAGTAGAAAAATAGAGGAAAATGACTTTTTGGTGTACTCAAAAAGTTATGGGATTAAATAGTGTCCACATGTTCCACATGGGACCTGTGGGTAATTTCCCCAAATTTATACCAAAAACATATATACACAAAAACGGCTTTATGTTTGTGTACCTGAATGGACAAACGTTGTCAAATGGATTCATTTTTGCAGTGAACCTACCTAAATTAAATGTAACATGATTTAACAATCTTGAAATTGCAAAACAACAAAAACATAACAATAAAAAAAAAACATTTATATTCGTTTCAGTTTTCTGAATGAAGTTTTTTTGAAAATTTAGTTTTTTATTTTTGGTATTTTTGGTATTTTTTTTGTTTTTAGTGGATATTTTTAAAATTTTAAATATTTTTATTATTTTTTTAAATGCACTTTACATAGATGTATTTAAAAGATAAAATATTTGTGAAAAAATATTTTAAAAAATTAATAAATACACAAAAATACAAAAATATATTGAATTTTTGTTTTTATTTTTTTTTTGTATTTTTGGTATTTAATGAATTTTTTAAAGATTTTTCGCAAAAATTATATTTTTTTAAGTGCATTTATGTTACGCTAGAAATTAAAAAAATGTTTAAAATATTAAAAAAATCAATAAAAACAAAAAAAAATATTTAAAAAAATACAAGAAATTAAAATTTTATGAGAAGTATTTTCAAAAAATTATTAATTTGAAAGAATAATCTATCCAAAGTACATTGTTATTAAAGAAGTAACCAATAACATAAACCTTACTTTGAATTTGATTAGCAATAATATAGAGGAAAAAGGGAACAAAATCGAAGTTGCAAGTCTTCTTGTTATCTTTAATTTGATATCCAGGGAGAGTAATTGAGGTTTTTTTTTTTTTTCTCAGGGCCCAAACAATGAAAAACTTTTTCTTTTTTGAAGTTTCCCGACAAACAAGCGGAACCTGGAATTTGAAGGTCACAGACACTTACAATTTGGGTCAGATGCCTAACAATCTTCAGTGCGGCGTTCCGGAGAGAGAGAGAGAGAGAGAGAAATTCCTATCTTTCCATCATCGCTGACCAAAAATATTTTCAGATATTTTTCTTATTAGTACCTGGACCGACCCGTTCCAATCCCGAATCAAACCATTTATTGGGCCATTGGCCCAGTTGACCACTATAAGCAGTAAATGCCCGGGCCCCTTATCTTTTTAGATGGACCTTCTTTTTTTCTTTTTAAATCTGCTTAATTACAAATGCGAAAATAATTGCATTCGATTGTATAATTAGAGTCTGACAGGACATAGCTACAAAGAAAAATGCTTAGTAGCTCGAATTTGTGTGTCTCGAATGTGTCAAAACGATGTCATTTTACACTCAAAACGATGTCGTTATAAGACATTCGAGTCATGAAAATTCAAACCACCTAACATTGTTGAGCTACAAATTCAACCATCAATAATCTAAATTTGAAATAAATAGCTACCTACAATCTCATAATGGATGAAGAATAATCAATATTTATTATTGACAATAATTGACCCTCTTATAAAATTGGCTAATTCAAAGTTGTTTTAATTATATGATTCAAATAAAAATTTCTATTTGAATAATTTAATTGGGAAATTTGTTTATGAATTTATTTTATAATAGAAAAGTTTAGTTGAATCGCAGGGTTTAAGAATAAAGGGTTAGGCTTTCTTCCAGTCCGTGATCAAACTAAAGGATACTGTTAGGCTTGTAGGGGTCCATCACAGATTCCGTTTCGGTAATCCAAACTGTTCAATGTATAAAACTCGTATATGCTTGTAAAAAATCACGTTGATCAGATATCGATAGTTACTTCATCAAATTAGTTTTATATATAAAAAAAATAGAGAGTGAAAAAATAAACGGTTGACAGAAAATTGATTTGATCACATA